TGTGGGAAAACGTATAGTAAAATATTTGTTATCATACAATGCCAAGAGTCTCTAGAAGCATCGATAGGTAAGAATACCGAGGGTTCCAGAAAGGGATCTTACTTAGCTATGATAATGAAAAAACAGTAAGTAAAGATGGTAGCTGATTATGAAAATTGTTGATCCCCTTTAGTAAAACATGGCATAATTAGTTTAGCTGAGAGAATTTAATAGAAAAAAAAAAAAAGAAAAAGGAAAGAACACATACAGGCAACTAAGATAACTAATAACTAAACTAACCAGATACAAGATCGGAGAGAGGTTGTAGTATTGAGTTATGGTGTGTTGTGAACGAGGTGGCGAGGAGGAAGAAGGAGGAGGAGGAGCAGGAATAGGTGGCGGCGGCGGTGGTGGTGGAACGAGTGAGGGTTTGGGAAGGTTGAGGTTGTGGGTGTTGGAAGGTTTGAAAGATGGTTTTTTTTTCTTGGTGGTGGTGCGAAGGAAAGAAGGGTAGTTCCATTGCTCGTCAGAATCAGAGACAGAGACAGGAAAATGGGGAGTATTAGAAGTTACAGAGACAGAGGTTGTGTGCCTGGGATTGGCAATAGTCTTGCTGCGCTTCAAGGGTGGCTTCCTGAGACTGAGATTGGAAGGTTCCTCATTGCTCTTTAGCATTCTTAGTGTTCTCCACTTGAGTTGAATTCAGCAGAGACAGATATTCCTATACCGTGTGTGGGGCTCTGATGCTGACCACTACTGCTTTGCCTTCGCTTGCTTTGGGTTGTGTTGTGTGGGATCTACACAGAAAAACAATGTGTTGTGTTGTGTTGTTGAAAAGCTGAAACAGACAACCTCTCTCTATCTCTCTCTCTTTCTTTCTCTGACCTCCTTTTGTTACAACAGTGTTTTTTTTTTTCACTTTTTTTCATGTTGTTGTAGATTCCACTCTCATCCTTTCTTTTTTCAATCAACTTTTCTTCACATTTATTCTCAATTATTACCTTCAGATGGATTTACACTTTTAACATCCATTTACCTTCTATAATTTTATGTTTTAAAGTGGAAAAAAAAATTAATTAATTGACCAAACACATCCTTAGTCTCTTAGTTCCTTTTTAATAAAAAAATGTTTATTTATTTATTATTTTTTAATTTTAAGAACGTGAATTTTTCTAATTATGTACATGATTAATGTAGTGAAAACAAATATTTATAACAATAAACAGAAATTTTTTTAATACCGTTGAACTAAAAAGATTATAAATACATTTATCTATGATAGACAAACTACTTAAAATTGTATTAGAAAATAAAAAGTTAAATATTTGTCTTGTTTTGACAAAAATATAACTTAAAAAAAATACTTAAAATTATATTAGAAAATAAAAAGTTAAATATTTTTCTTGTTTTGAAAAAAATAAAACTTAAAGAAAAAAATAGTATATGATTTTAATTATGATAAATGTTTTTGTAAGATTAAGTTTAAAAATACTTTTTAACATAAATTATTAAGTTAGAGCATATTCTAACCATATTAAATATTTTTAGAATTTATATGTTTTTTTTTATCGAGCAACCATCATTAGTATTTAATATTATGAAAAATGTGAATATATATTTTAACATAAAAGTAAAAGTAAAACCAAATCGAATTATATAAATAAGTACAGGTGTCACATCACAAATTGTAAAAATTTTGAAAAAATTGATACATTATTAAAGTTTTCCTCTTAATAATATTTATAAAGAAGATTCGTCTTTTGGTATACACGATTTTTTTTCCAATTTTACCATTTAAATAATCGTTATTTTAAATTAAAATTGTTATTTTAAATTAAAATTGTTATTTTATCATTTCATTCCTTTAATAACTATTTTTAAATTTAGTTATTTATAATAAAAAAGTTATTTAATAACAAATAGAATGTAAATTAATTACTTTTATAATTATTTTCAATAACAAATATTTTATAATTTAATAACTTTTTCAAGAATAAAAAAGAAGAAGTGGATATACATGCGCTTATTTGTTAAAATTAGTGACAACTAATACCTGATTTTAAGTCAAATATTTGTATATTTCTTAAAAATTAAAACATGATTTGTGTACTATTTTTTTCCTTAAACTCAAATACCATAGAACAATTTGTATTAAAATTAAATTTAAGTTGAATTATTAATATGATTCTTTAACTATGTCTGTCAATTTAAATTAGTTTTATGAAATATAACATATGATTTAGTTTTTATCTAGAATTAGTAAATAAATACATTTATTTTGGTTTGTATTTGGTTAATTGTTGACACAAACTAACCTTATTAAATCCCAAATTTGTTATCATGGGTCCATTTATTTACATCTTTTAAAAAAAAAACTGTTATTTTAATAAAATAAACTGTCAAAATAGGTAATCCAGCTCGATCAAGTCCAATCCATCACGAGTTAATCATTTAGTGAGTGAATCCAACTTAGCTCACTTATTAGTAAGTTAAAAAAAATTTAAACTTGACTTGGCCCATCATGCGTTGGTGGGTTAAATGGGTTAATTGCTCATTTAATTATAAGTTTTTTTAAAGAAATAATTTTAAATTCAAATCTAAATAATTTTCACTCTAAAATATGTTAAAATCCAAAGACAATTCAAAATAAAAATAAAAATATCATAAATCCAAATGTACTCAAAAAATAAACACAAAATTCGAACATATAAGTTTTTAATGTTGATAATTTTTGTATCACTTGTCCATTTATAATATTATAGTCTTAAATAGATAAATCTATAATATTTTTCTTTCTTTAAATATCTTTTTTTTTATCTCATCTACAATATAATAAAAAAATGTTAACTAATAATATTGAAACACAAAATAATAAATAATTAAATTAAATTATGTAGGTTTGTGAGTCAATTCGGCTCACAACGGGTTCAATCCGGATAAGCCGGGTTCTAAGTAAACTGGGTTGAAAACTAACTCGCATAAAGAATTACAATTTTTTCAAACTTAACCCGACTCAAATTCGTGATGAATCGGACTAGTTCGCAAATTACAACCAATTTTCACAGTACTAAGAATAAGTACATTTTGTCAACCTTAGACAAATTTGTTTTAAAAAAAATCAATCAGAAAGCTAAATATAATTCAGTCTTTCTGAGTTAATAGAAACAATAAAACAAACACTCCTTTTATAACAGGGAAAACTCATGTACTGATATGTGTATTTCTTCTATGATGATTAAAAACAAGAAGATTATTATTGTAATTATAGAAGTAAATATAAACAATTTACAATTTTATAGATAATTGTTTTAATTTTAAAAAATGGTTAAATATAAAAAACATCACTTAAATAATAAAATTATTAAATTAATTATTTTAATTTTTTTAAATATATATTAATTATGAGTTTGCTAATTTACGTAAAGTTTTTTTTAGTTGGTATATTCTAGTCAACTGTAGTTTTAATGGACAAAAAAATTCCTACTAGAAAAACATAATTTTAAATCAAGGATATTTTAATAATTTTAATATTTAATTTAAAATAAAAAAAAGTTAGTTATACCTTTTATTTTAAAAAAAAAAAACTAATAACTACTGATACACGTGGCAGCTGTCATAAATGATAAATAAGTATGTAGCAATCATGAATGATAGGGTTTAGAGTTTAGGATTTTGGGGTTATGGTTTAGTTTTTTTTTAAATAAAAATATAAAAGGTAGTTATTAAGTCATGGATTGTAAATAACTATTTTTTTAAAATTAAATATTAAAATTATTAAAATATCCTTAGATTTTAAGTATGTTTTTCTTTGAATGAGAATTTTGTTGTCCATTAAAACTTGGTACATTACCAACTAAAAACCTTACGTAAATTAAGAAACCTCATATAATATATATATATATGTGTGTGTGTGTGACATCCGGACACTGACGAGGACGGGGAGTGATCCTCGGCGCAAGAGGCACGAAATGCAAGAGGCACAAATAAAGAGCAGATCCTAGCAGGCTTCCAGTGGGAGAGACACATGAAAGAATCGAACATACACCGAAATGAGAGAATATAGAGACGGTATAAGTATGTGACTATACACTTGAAGGATAACTTAAAGTAATTGCTTTGGCTACTCATATCACCAAAATGCAATTGTTTTTCGGTAGCCTAACTCATAATAACTCAATGGTTAAGTGTGTTTAGTCTGGAGTAATTTAGGAATGTGTTCTGTTTTTTATATATTTTAAATTAAAAATAAAATTTATTAAAATATCCTATATTTAAAGTATGTTTTTTTTTATAATTAAAAGTTTTTTTTTCAACTAAAATAACTTTGTAATTATCACTCTTTGAACCATCGGTTTCTCTTCAATTCCAAATCTATTATGAATATCTGTTTATTGGTTTTTAGATCAATATTTTAAGTTTTTTTTATATAACAATTTATTAAAATTGAAATACAGTGTAATCCAACAACAATAAATGAAATATTGTTTTATGAAGTGACTAAGATCTTTTAAAAATATTTTTCGATTTCCTAAATATTTAGAATTTAAAGAAAAGGGGAAATTAATTATTTAGGGATTTGTCCATTTAAAAATAGATTTTAATAAATCTTTAAGCAAGTTCTTTAATATAAATATCCTACTTTTCTATAACAATAATTATCAATATCATATATATATATAATCAGATTTTTTTTAATATCATATTATTTTATTTTTAAATTGAATTCAATATTTTTAAGAATAAATTATTAAATAATCTCACTGTAGTATATATCAAAAAGACATATCTTTTGTTATAAATGACAATTATATCATTAATTAAATAATCTCACTGTAGTATATATCAAAAAGACATATCTTTTGTTATAAATGACAATTATATCATTAATTAGTAGAATATTTGTTGGAACTGAAAGAAAACAACAGCATTGGTGGATTAGAGGCAGTTATCCCCTGATTTTATGAATTATTAGATCTTAACATAATAAGACATAGAATGAATATATCAACATAGAAAAAAGCAAACTGCAAAGCCACCAATTGTACTGTCACACGATCTTTTCTTTCTCCTATTTCTAGGGTTTATACCTTTCAATTTTCTCTCTTCTAACCTAACAACACATTCAATTCATCTTTCTTCATCTCTTCCTCAATTTTCCATCAATCCTGGGATCCTGGGCTACGCATCTTCGTCTTCTCTCTAACATCTCTGTTTCTTCCTCCGATTCAGGCTCGCCATTATCGTAAACATTCATATATTATTCATGATGGACCGTGGCAAGAGATTCCAGAAACGTATCCTTCTTTTATTTTACCTTTACACTTTTTTTTTTAAAATTATTATTATTCCTTCAATTAATAATCAGTTTATTCATTGGCATCCCACTTCTTCAGTATGTTTACCTTTTGCCACATTATCTGTTGTATTCATTTTACTGGGTATCAGATTTTCTGCAGTGAGTGGGTGACAATTGTGCAGTCACTGCTGTTAATTTTTTTCCCTTACTACACTTAGTATTAGTCTCAACAACTGAGTTATGGAAATCCATTGTAGGACAAAAATATATCTATTACCAAAACTAAGTTGTCTATAATAAATACCACATTTTAGGTTTTTCTTTTATAATATGTTATAGACTCTAAATTTGTAGAACGCACAATAGTCTGCTTTTGATAGTAAGTAATAAGATTGAGAATAGTAGTAACTCAGTCAAAACTTTAGTCAAATGGGAAGAATCATTAATTAAAAAGGACATATCTCTACAAATTAAATTAATAATAATTCTTCTTAATTAGCACTGATCTTGCTTATTTTCTCTTCTGGAGATAAAACAGATTTGTACTTTGGTAACTTTTAAATTGTTGTTGATTTTTTTTTCTCTCTTAGACATGTTTCAGATATTTGAGTTCTATTTATGATTTATGATATACTTAACCATGTGATATAGTTCAATACGTCCCTAAAGGAACTATAAAAGGAACTACAAGTCATAGTCAGCAGCGGAAGGATGAAGATGTGGTATGCCCACTTTCTAAGTCTTTTTCTATAATATTAATGTGTGTCTCACTCTGCTTTTCTTTCAAAATTTAGTTTTTGATTCTCTTTAATAAACAACTACTGCAAAGCTTTTCTACTGAAATGTTAACAGTAAACCACATTGTTTGAGTGATAGCTTGTCTTCTGCATTAGAGTAAACTTTAAGCACTTTCTTAACGACAGTGTCATAAAAAAGTAAAAATAAATTAAAAAAAAGAAACAACTTATATCATAAATAGAGCAACACTTATGACATTTTTTTGAGATTTGTTTCCATAAGATTTAACTGGTTATTTTAACTATTTAAGATATATGTTTCTTAGAATTCTACTGTAAGGTTTGTGAGAATAGGAAAACTATAAAGCTTGATAGACTTGCTTTTACAGAATACATTATCAAAATCTTAATTCTCAATTGAGAATTTTGTCATGTTGGTTATTTACATATCGAAAGTATTTTTATGTCCTATATTTAAAACATTAAGTGTCTGTTTGTCTCGCGCCTGCTAATCATTATATTTTATAGGATTACAAGTGTCTTTCTCTTTGACACAATTTTTCCTATGTTTTCACTTTCTAACTTATGACACTTCTATTTATGGAAGATAACAAGAGTCAGATAACTACTTAATCTTCCTAGAATTTTGTGCTTTTGCCTTTCTAGGAGACAGTCACCCACCTTTGGTATTAGCAAAAATTGTTTCAGACCCATACCTTTATAGAGTTACCTTTATAGAGTTACTTGAATGTGATAAAATGTAGTTCTTATCAATTATGGAGAACTTTGGACAATTACTCGATTGGCTGTCAGCCTGTTGCATCGAGGTCACCATATATAAATCACACTGTGGACTTTATAATATAGATACTTTTATAACTGTCCATGAATGCCAACTGGGACTAACAATAACACGCAGTTTTTTGTAGTTTTGTTTCTGACCTTTATATGTCTCATGATGCCATCATATTCACTATATTTTATGAATATGTTTCTGCAGGTTTCTAGAAAAGATTGTATCTCATCCGTTTCAACATCATTTGTGCCCTCCTCTGGAGACGATGCTGGCGTTGCAGGTGAGGCAGCTCAAGAGTGAGAGGGATATTTTGTGTTTATCCTACACCTAATACTTATGAGGAAAGATGATAAAATTGTTCCTTGTCCACGTAAAATACTGCTGATAATGATAGTGATGTATCTGTCTTAGAAATTGCTCTATATTTATAATTAACTATGCAAAACAATCCTGAATACTAAATGAGGATTATGATCATGACTGAAAATAATATTTTACTTTCTCTAAGATTAAATGAAGTCTTAACTTGATCTTTTTAACATTTGATTCTTAACCTATGCAAATGCACTAGGATATTTATTATATGGATCATTACATTAAAATTGAGATTTTTGCTTATTTAAACTTAAATATACTAATCAATGAAAGTTAGATGGAGTTGTTATTATGTTTGATATAAGCATTGACGACAAGAAGGCTATCTGATACTGTTTGTTAAGCAGTGGTTTAATGCTGTAATGATTTATGATATAGACATTAAAATAAACATTTATTCATTTGGATACGTTTTGATAGCAGATATTTGATGAGCTAACTTGGAATGCTTTAAATTTATGAACATTGTGCTGTGTAATGAAACGTTTTTTTATTGATAGAACCTTTAGTTATCAGGGCTATTGTGGGTCTGGATGGGTATTGGGTTGATCATCAATCTTATATCTCATAGACTGAGAATTTTCAACTACCAGGTGTGAATGAATCAGAAGCTCTGCCTTGTTATGCATCAGTCCCAACATCTATTGGTGTGCAGAGCCAAACGGTCAAGGGTTCTGTAATTGCAAAAACTCATCCAAAATCCCCTGGTCCAATGAAGCCGAATAACTTCAAGTCTACACATAGAAATGAGAGTTTAACCAGCACAATATATAAGCCCGTGACTAATACAGAAAAAGATATCAAAATTATAAACAAGGTAACAGTTGGAAGATTATGATGTTTCAGATTGTTTATTATATCATAAGGTATCATTGCTTCTAGTTTATTTATTTATTTTTGAGATGTGTTGTTGCTTTGATGAAGAATACTTCGAAAGTTATTATTGTCTTCATTAACACCCTTTTAAGTTTTTTTGGATACTTTGTTACCGAAAATTTTCTCCTCGGTCTTGTTTGTCATCTCTTGCATCTGTTGTTTTACTTTCATTTAATATACTTATCTAAATATGGAATGGGTAAAAAAACTCCCCTCTCTGTTTTATATTTTCACTATAATTCCTTGAGCATGTGAATGCTTATTTTGCAGGCTCCTCATGTGCATTCTAATTTTACAGCAGCTACCTCTCCAACTACATATCAGCAGCACGNTACGTAAAGTTTTTTTTAGTTGGTATATTCTAGTCAACTGTAGTTTTAATGGACAAAAAAATTCCTACTAGAAAAACATAATTTTAAATCAAGGATATTTTAATAATTTTAATATTTAATTTAAAATAAAAAAAAGTTAGTTATACCTTTTATTTTAAAAAAAAAAAACTAATAACTACTGATACACGTGGCAGCTGTCATAAATGATAAATAAGTATGTAGCAATCATGAATGATAGGGTTTAGAGTTTAGGATTTTGGGGTTATGGTTTAGTTTTTTTTTAAATAAAAATATAAAAGGTAGTTATTAAGTCATGGATTGTAAATAACTATTTTTTTAAAATTAAATATTAAAATTATTAAAATATCCTTAAATTTTAAGTATGTTTTTCTTTGAATGAGAATTTTGTTGTCCATTAAAACTTGGTACATTACCAACTAAAAACCTTACGTAAATTAAGAAACCTCATATAATATATATATATATGTGTGTGTGTGTGACATCCGGACACTGACGAGGACGGGGAGTGATCCTCGGCGCAAGAGGCACGAAATGCAAGAGGCACAAATAAAGAGCAGATCCTAGCAGGCTTCCAGTGGGAGAGACACATGAAAGAATCGAACATACACCGAAATGAGAGAATATAGAGACGGTATAAGTATGTGACTATACACTTGAAGGATAACTTAAAGTAATTGCTTTGGCTACTCATATCACCAAAATGCAATTGTTTTTCGGTAGCCTAACTCATAATAACTCAATGGTTAAGTGTGTTTAGTCTGAAGTAATTTAGGAATGTGTTCTGTTTTTTATATATTTTAAATTAAAAATAAAATTTATTAAAATATCCTATATTTAAAGTATGTTTTTTTTTATAATTAAAAGTTTTTTTTTCAACTAAAATAACTTTGTAATTATCACTCTTTGAACCATCGGTTTCTCTTCAATTCCAAATCTATTATGAATATCTGTTTATTGGTTTTTAGATCAATATTTTAAGTTTTTTTTATATAACAATTTATTAAAATTGAAATACAGTGTAATCCAACAACAATAAATGAAATATTGTTTTATGAAGTGACTAAGATCTTTTAAAAATATTTTTCGATTTCCTAAATATTTAGAATTTAAAGAAAAGGGGAAATTAATTATTTAGGGATTTGTCCATTTAAAAATAGATTTTAATAAATCTTTAAGCAAGTTCTTTAATATAAATATCCTACTTTTCTATAACAATAATTATCAATATCATATATATATATAATCAGATTTTTTTTAATATCATATTATTTTATTTTTAAATTGAATTCAATATTTTTAAGAATAAATTATTAAATAATCTCACTGTAGTATATATCAAAAAGACATATCTTTTGTTATAAATGACAATTATATCATTAATTAAATAATCTCACTGTAGTATATATCAAAAAGACATATCTTTTGTTATAAATGACAATTATATCATTAATTAGTAGAATATTTGTTGGAACTGAAAGAAAACAACAGCATTGGTGGATTAGAGGCAGTTATCCCCTGATTTTATGAATTATTAGATCTTAACATAATAAGACATAGAATGAATATATCAACATAGAAAAAAGCAAACTGCAAAGCCACCAATTGTACTGTCACACAATCTTTTCTTTCTCCTATTTCTAGGGTTTATACCTTTCAATTTTCTCTCTTCTAACCTAACAACACATTCAATTCATCTTTCTTCATCTCTTCCTCAATTTTCCATCAATCCTGGGATCCTGGGCTACGCATCTTCGTCTTCTCTCTAACATCTCTGTTTCTTCCTCCGATTCAGGCTCGCCATTATCGTAAACATTCATATATTATTCATGATGGACCGTGGCAAGAGATTCCAGAAACGTATCCTTCTTTTATTTTACCTTTACACTTTTTTTTTTAAAATTATTATTATTCCTTCAATTAATAATCAGTTTATTCATTGGCATCCCACTTCTTCAGTATGTTTACCTTTTGCCACATTATCTGTTGTATTCATTTTACTGGGTATCAGATTTTCTGCAGTGAGTGGGTGACAATTGTGCAGTCACTGCTGTTAATTTTTTTCCCTTACTACACTTAGTATTAGTCTCAACAACTGAGTTATGGAAATCCATTGTAGGACAAAAATATATCTATTACCAAAACTAAGTTGTCTATAATAAATACCACATTTTAGGTTTTTCTTTTATAATATGTTATAGACTCTAAATTTGTAGAACGCACAATAGTCTGCTTTTGATAGTAAGTAATAAGATTGAGAATAGTAGTAACTCAGTCAAAACTTTAGTCAAATGGGAAGAATCATTAATTAAAAAGGACATATCTCTACAAATTAAATAAATAATAATTCTTCTTAATTAGCACTGATCTTGCTTATTTTCTCTTCTGGAGATAAAACAGATTTGTACTTTGGTAACTTTTAAATTGTTGTTGATTTTTTTTTCTCTCTTAGACATGTTTCAGATATTTGAGTTCTATTTATGATTTATGATATACTTAACCATGTGATATAGTTCAATACGTCCCTAAAGGAACTATAAAAGGAACTACAAGTCATAGTCAGCAGCGGAAGGATGAAGATGTGGTATGCCCACTTTCTAAGTCTTTTTCTATAATATTAATGTGTGTCTCACTCTGCTTTTCTTTCAAAATTTAGTTTTTGATTCTCTTTAATAAACAACTACTGCAAAGCTTTTCTACTGAAATGTTAACAGTAAACCACATTGTTTGAGTGATAGCTTGTCTTCTGCATTAGAGTAAACTTTAAGCACTTTCTTAACGACAGTGTCATAAAAAAGTAAAAATAAATTAAAAAAAAGAAACAACTTATATCATAAATAGAGCAACACTTATGACATTTTTTTGAGATTTGTTTCCATAAGATTTAACTGGTTATTTTAACTATTTAAGATATATGTTTCTTAGAATTCTACTGTAAGGTTTGTGAGAATAGGAAAACTATAAAGCTTGATAGACTTGCTTTTACAGAATACATTATCAAAATCTTAATTCTCAATTGAGAATTTTGACATGTTGGTTATTTACATATCGAAAGTATTTTTATGTCCTATATTTAAAACATTAAGTGTCTGTTTGTCTCGCGCCTGCTAATCATTATATTTTATAGGATTACAAGTGTCTTTCTCTTTGACACAATTTTTCCTATGTTTTCACTTTCTAACTTATGACACTTCTATTTATGGAAGATAACAAGAGTCAGATAACTACTTAATCTTCCTAGAATTTTGTGCTTTTGCCTTTCTAGGAGACAGTCACCCACCTTTGGTATTAGCAAAAATTGTTTCAGACCCATACCTTTATAGAGTTACCTTTATAGAGTTACTTGAATGTGATAAAATGTAGTTCTTATCAATTATGGAGAACTTTGGACAATTACTCGATTGGCTGTCAGCCTGTTGCATCGAGGTCACCATATATAAATCACACTGTGGACTTTATAATATAGATACTTTTATAACTGTCCATGAATGCCAACTGGGACTAACAATAACACGCAGTTTTTTGTAGTTTTGTTTCTGACCTTTATATGTCTCATGATGCCATCATATTCACTATATTTTATGAATATGTTTCTGCAGGTTTCTAGAAAAGATTGTATCTCATCCGTTTCAACATCATTTGTGCCCTCCTCTGGAGACGATGCTGGCGTTGCAGGTGAGGCAGCTCAAGAGTGAGAGGGATATTTTGTGTTTATCCTACACCTAATACTTATGAGGAAAGATGATAAAATTGTTCCTTGTCCACGTAAAATACTGCTGATAATGATAGTGATGTATCTGTCTTAGAAATTGCTCTATATTTATAATTAACTATGCAAAACAATCCTGAATACTAAATGAGGATTATGATCATGACTGAAAATAATATTTTACTTTCTCTAAGATTAAATGAAGTCTTAACTTGATCTTTTTAACATTTGATTCTTAACCTATGCAAATGCACTAGGATATTTATTATATGGATCATTACATTAAAATTGAGATTTTTGCTTATTTAAACTTAAATATACTAATCAATGAAAGTTAGATGGAGTTGTTATTATGTTTGATATAAGCATTGACGACAAGAAGGCTATCTGATACTGTTTGTTAAGCAGTGGTTTAATGCTGTAATGATTTATGATATAGACATTAAAATAAACATTTATTCATTTGGATACGTTTTGATAGCAGATATTTGATGAGCTAAATTGGAATGCTTTAAATTTATGAACATTGTGCTGTGTAATGAAACGTTTTTTTATTGATAGAACCTTTAGTTATCAGGGCTATTGTGGGTCTGGATGGGTATTGGGTTGATCATCAATCTTATATCTCATAGACTGAGAATTTTCAACTACCAGGTGTGAATGAATCAGAAACTCTGCCTTGTTATGCATCAGTCCCAACATCTATTGGTGTGCAGAGCCAAACGGTCAAGGGTTCTGTAATTGCAAAAACTCATCCAAAATCCCCTGGTCCAATGAAGCCGAATAACTTCAAGTCTACACATAGAAATGAGAGTTTAACCAGCACAATATATAAGCCCGTGACTAATACAGAAAAAGATATCAAAATTATAAACAAGGTAACAGTTGGAAGATTATGATGTTTCAGATTGTTTATTATATCATAAGGTATCATTGCTTCTAGTTTATTTATTTATTTTTGAGATGTGTTGTTGCTTTGATGAAGAATACTTCGAAAGTTATTATTGTCTTCATTAACACCCTTTTAAGTTTTTTTGGATACTTTGTTACCGAAAATTTTCTCCTCGGTCTTGTTTGTCATCTCTTGCATCTGTTGTTTTACTTTCATTTAATATACTTATCTAAATATGGAATGGGTAAAAAAACTCCCCTCTCTGTTTTATATTTTCACTATAATTCCTTGAGCATGTGAATGCTTATTTTGCAGGCTCCTCATGTGCATTCTAATTTTACAGCAGCTACCTCTCCAACTACATATCAGCAGCACGTAGGAAAACTTTCATCTTCAGACACCTCAGGATGTCATATGTTTCCCCCCACAAACTACAGGCAAAATTCTTCTGACTACATTCGAAATACCTCTTCTACCAACAGACCAAATGGGAGAGTATCTAGTTTAAATGATCGACCTGTTTCAAATGACAAATTTAGGAATGGAGAATCTGAAACGTCAAAGGAAATGACTCGGGGACCTCGGGGTCATTACAACTATTTTCTTCTACCACCATCTATTGTTAATGATGAGTTTGAAACCACAATGTCTAGAGACCAATATAACCTGTCAGATTTCCAAACTGAATACGAAACTGCTAAATTTTATGTGATTAAATCTTTTAATGAAGACGACGTTCATAAGGGTGTTAAATATAATGTTTGGACAAGTACTCCAAACGGAAATAGGAAATTGAACACAGCGTACCTTGATTCAGAAGCTAAATTGAGACAGACAGACACGAAGTGTCCAGTATTCCTTTTCTTCTCAGTGAGTTCAAATCTTTGTTCACTTGTGGTCTCTCACTCTTTATTCATTACACAAAAACAAGTTTTTCGTTTTCGTTCATATTTTAGATATTGACGTACTGTTATATCTTTTCTTTTATTTTATTTTATATTGGTTCTCTTTAGTGGGGATATATTATCTTCAAAAGCTCATTTAAAGAACATGAACGTCAATTAGTGTTTTCCTTTATATTTATGTCTAATAAGTGTGAAAATAAATGTTTTTTCAAGATTGGCTGATCAAAACTCCAAAACATATATTCTCTTCCAAATTTTATCTAGAATATATATTATTTAAATATAATTGTCATTCACAACAATTTTATCAGCTACTATAACTTTGATCCTGAATGTATTTCGTTGTCAAATCAGGTTAATGCTAGCGGACAGTTTGTTGGAGTGGCTGAGATGCTTGGGCCGGTGGACTTTAAAAAAGACATGAACTTTTGGAAACTTGACAAATACAATGGTTTCTTCCCAATTAAGTGGCACATAATAAAAGATGTTCCCAACAACCAGTTTGTGCATATCATTCTTCCAAACAATGAGAACAAGCCTGTAACTTTCACTAGGGACACACAAGAGGTAACTCTTTTTATGTTTCAGTCTAATAGTTCTTGAGATCAACCTTTTTTTTATCATTACATTAAAGAAGATAAAAGAGAGATAAGAAGTAACCTGGTAACCTTACTTTTGAAATAATTTGATCTCTCCTCTCTCTTTCTCTTGTGGATAATATAAAATAGTTTAACCTGTTAAAGTCCAATTGTCCATATATCACATTTACTTTGGTCATATAAATGTCGTTGAAGTTATTGACTCCATGTTTTGTTACAAGTGGTGTATAATTAAATTTGTGATTATATGGTTTGCAGATTGGACTGAAGGAAGGTCTGGAGATGCTGAATATTTTCAAAAATTATTCGGCTAAGACATCTCTCTTGGATGATTTTGACTTTTATGAGAACCGAGAAAAGTTATTTCGTTCTGAGAAGAAAACTATGCATACAAGGCCAGAACAGGGAGCATATGGTAATGCCAATTACCAAGTAAGTTCCATTTCCATCGTCTGCAGTGCTTCTTAGTTTTTTTTTTTTTGGATCGGCACAATGCTTCTCTGTTATTTCTGCAATTGGAGCATAGAAGATATGTGATTTTCCCCAAGTACACCCAATTGGACTATTGTAATGCTACTATGTTACGTTAGTCATTAGATTCTCCCTTGCATGCTGTAGAACAATTTTCTTTCTTTTGTTCATATGTTGACTTTTTCGTTTTTTTGCCTTTTTACTTTATGCAGAATACTTTCAGGGCAAGAGAGAAGAAAACAGAGATTCAATCGAGTGCTGCCGTGCAAGGTAGTCTGGTCAAACTTACAAAGAATCTTTCTCTCAATTCCTCTGGAAAACAAGGATTCAGATAGCAAGATTAGTGGAGGGCCAGAGGAGAAAACAGAGCCGATGATATTTACTTGTGCTAGTAGGCATTTTAGAGTTACAGACATGCAGTTAGACTTTCTTAGTATTATATGACCATGATTTGTGTGATATGCTCACAAGATAACCACGACCACATTTTATATTACTTGGTTTGCCATTCGCAAACGATCTTTAAAATGAATCTATTGAGGTATGAATTTATGGAATGATGAAACTAAAAAGATAAATAGTTAAAATATATTTAAATTAGTGAGTTAAATTGATGGTGATTTTCCTACCTCTCAATTTTGTTTTGTTATATCTCTTACTCATTTTCGAAATAAATCATTTGGAATGTAGAAAAGTATATTCTAAAAACACCTTTTCAAAATGAGTGGAAGGTGTAAATCAATTGTACATGAAAAAAAAAGTTTATCTATGAATAATTTGCTATCAAATGTCTTATTAATATTTTAATATTCTATAAAATATTAAATAACAAAAAAATGGGTGTTGCTCCTTCTACCACCCTGAGTCAAACATGTTGGTAAGTTAAAACATAATATAATATTAAAAATTATAGATATTAAATGTAAAAAAAACACACACGTATATATAAACATTTTTCTAGAAATTTAGAACAAAATTTTACTATTTATTAAGTAATTTGAAGAAAAAAAATATATTAAACAATGAAAATAAGATTAAATCAAACTTATTTAAAGAAAAGTGTAAATAAAATTTTCCAATATATCATAAGAAGGTGTAAAGTATTTTTAGAATAAAAAAAATAATGAAGAGGTGTAGAGTATTTTTGGAATAAAAAAAATATAATGAGGAGATGTAGAGCACTTGGGATGGGTGGTGAGGGAAAAACACCCAAAAAATTTATATGTTGCAACGTAGAATAGTCATTATATTATGATACCTATTGGCCAAATAATTGGAATTTATACCTGTAAACAAAATAGGTTCAATAAATTTGACTCATTAATTAAAATGATGGATTTTATTTATTTTCTTACAAAATCTTCATTTAATTTATTTAAATCATTTTAATTTTGTTTGACACGTTTTCTTGAATGTTTTTACCTTTTAGAAGTTAACATTAATATCAAGGTTGTAATTTTTGAGTTTAATAATTTGCTTGTCTCTATATTTATTATTTTATCTTTATCTCTAGAGGTCAAAAGAATCACATTCATTGCATAAATAAAATTTAAATATTCATCCAGAATTATAATTATTTGTACAGTTAATCCATTTTAAATTTTAATTTTTTAAAATAAAATATAAGTATATCGTAAAAAGTGCATATATAAAATAACTAGTTCGAGTATTATTTTATTAATAATACACGAAAAAAATATTTAAAACGAAAGAGAATAGATATGCTATTTAAAATAAATAAGGAAAGTGAATATAATTTATAATCATCTACATGATGTATATTAAAGGGAACCATGTCACTATTTAGGCTTTTTATTATTATATAAGTCATTAATTAAAGAACAACATGCTAAAATGAAATATCAGTGTAAATAGGATATTTTGTTATCGCATTAGAACCCTTAACGTCTTATATATAGTTATTTATTTCTTTTTTATTGATAAAAGTATTAAACATTCAACTTGAAGTTATATATATATTTTAAAATTTTAAATAATTACTTTTTTATATTTTTAAGTAAAATGTAATTAATATCTTATTTTAAATAAACCTAAGAAAATTGAAGTATTTTATTAAAAGCATAAGAAAAATAAATATTACAGGCTAGTAAGTATTTTGAAAAAAGAAATCGTTATTTTATTATAATTGAAGATGCGTGTTTGGCTTATGAAAAAACTTTAAATATATATATATATATATATATAAGTAAATATTAGGAGTTTGTTTTGAACACTATAAAAGCACATGTTTTGAATAGAAGGAGAGGTTTTCAGAGTTAGATCATCCACGCCTTCTTCCCGCCATTTTCTCTCTTCCATGGAACCTTCTCACCTTCTCACCGTGCAGTTTTCTCTTCTCTCACTCCTTTTCCTTCGTATCTCGGTAAGACTGGGACCATTTCCTTTCTACTTCTGTAATCTTTAATTTTCTACTCTGTTTTCTGGGCAGATGAACTTTTCTTTAAACAATTGTAAAAGAAAAAAAACAAGTAAAAATGAATTTAACTAAACCAAACTATTTTTCGTCTTCGGCCTGATTGATTGGATTCTCAAGAAACTTATTACTCATCTTGACTCAAATCATGACTATGTGTTTATTTGTTTTACTTTCTGATACTTCGAGTATCTTTTATTTTATAGAAAATGTCATTAAAAAATGAGATTAAAGAAAAAAAATAAGCGTTTAATTACCTAACATTAATATTTATTGGATATATAGCTTTTGTTTAAAATTAGCATTAGAATTTTTATCATGTAATGATTTTTTTATCGTGCTTATTTTTACATTAATTGGATCAGATATATATCTCTTCTATATTTGTTTTTTGATCTCTGAGTGAAATTAAGGGGATAATATAAAATAATTTTTTATTTGAGAAATATTAAAGATGATATTTTCAATTAGTATTTAAGAACGAATTTTATTTGGCAAGTATGGTGGGAAGCGGAAAGGAGAAACAGAAACCCTCTTTGAGTTGCATTGAGATTGAAATTTCAAATTTCAATGACACACAGTTTGAAGCATTCAGTGGATTTGGAGTGCAGTGATAACAATCGACCATCCAAGTTATCAAAAATTGAGCATCCCAGTCACATTGAAGAAGAAGAAGAAGAAGAAGAGATGAATCAAAACCCTAAAAATGGGATTCAACGCTATTTGTTTGCAATCGAGTATATCGGCACTCGCTTCTCCGGTTCTCAGAAGCAGCTCACTTGCCGTACCGTCGTTGGAGCTCTCGAGGTATCAAATTACAACATCGCATCGCTGTTTCCATCAATTATTACTATAAAATCAAATGTGTTGTTGTTTTGTAGGAAGCTTTTGCTAAGTTTGTTGGCCAGCCCGTCTCTGTCTCCTGTTCAAGTAGAACTGTATATATCACTCTCATGCACTCACTGTTCACAAACAATTTACAAATGCAATACAATACAATCCACTTAACTGTGCTATGGAAATGCAGGATGCTGGAGTTCATGCTTTGTCAAATGTTTGTCACGTGGATATTCAACGGACCAGCAAAAGGAAGCCCGGTGAAGTGGTCCGTATCTTACATAAACCCTAACTTTATACGAATCAATATATATTTGCTCATCTGGTCATTATAAACATGTAGTTACCACCTCATGAACCTGCTGTGGTTGGAAGGGCTGTAAACCATTTCTTGCAGGTATGTTCTTCTTGTGCTCAAATCAAAATAAATTACCGGGACACCGACCAAATCCGTCACATTAAAAAATAATAGACCAATATTACAAAATTTTAAAATTAGGGACTAAAACCAATTATAACCAAATTGTTAGGGACTTAAAACACATTTTACCCTTTAAATAAATACATTGCTTCTTCTGTCTTGAAAAAATGTTTGATCTTCTTACATGACTTGGAAGAAGAAAGAAACTGTGAAGATAGCTGCAAAGAATGCGTGCTTGCAATTTTTTAGTAATTGGCTTGGATAAAGCAGATAGAATTGTAATTTACTTTCCATCACCTTGTGCTTTAAGTTCAATCTTATTCTGAACTGTCTGCATGATGCGTGTTGAGGCAAAAACTTGCACCAAAGGTCCACAGATAATGTCGGAGTTATTTTATTTTATTTTTTCACTTTTTTTTTCTATCCACTGAGGAATTTTCTAATGCTATTGCATACCCAGGAGATTTTCTATTTGTGACAGCTTTTCATCCGTGCAGATTCTTAGTATTTGTTATTATCGAATTTTGGCTTTATAAACTATTGCATGAAAATTAATGAATTATTGAGTATGTTCTTAAGAGCAAATTTATTATCAACTTCGTGTTTGATTGTACTCAAAGTTGGAGTTGCAGTTTTGGAAACCTAAACTGTTTCTCAAAGGCTTCTAACATGTTTTTTGGCAATTTCATTTATTTTAGAAGCATGACAGTGACTTAACGATCATTGATGTTCGACGTGTTCCATCTGATTTTCATGCCAGATTTAAAGCACAAGAGCGCACGTGAGTTCTTCAGATTCTTGATTTTCATACGTAGATTATCAATTGCCGCAATTATATACCGTCACCGGCTTTTCTACAGTTCTATTTGATGCAAGATTTTCATTCTTAGCTTTTATTTGTTGGATTATAAATGGAGGAGCTACTTGGTCTATGAAGTATATTTGTTGGATTATGAATGGAGTAGAACTGCTTGATCTTTTGAAATTGTTCTTTATTTTTTTGTAATAGTGACAGTGAAGAATATTGCAAAAAGGTTCATCTAAGATTTCTGGCATTAGCTACTTTTCCGTGCGTTTCCATAGAATTCTTTCTTGTTTTCGATTATTTGAAGTAATTGCTCATTATTTGGAACTACAATTCAGATACTTCTATCGTTTGCTGTCTGGGCCAGAGCCTTTGTCAACCTTTGAGAAAGATCGAGCATGGCATGTATGTGAAGATCTTAATGTTCCAGCTATGCAAGTTAGTTAACAGCTCCGTATATTTATCAGATTGTCAATCTTCCATCTATGCAAGTTATTGATGATATCCATGCAGGAAGCATGCAGGGTTCTTGTTGGATGCCATGATTTTAGTTCCTTCAGGGCAGCTGGTTGTCAGGTTGTTTTTATCTCTCTAATATGTGTGAACAGTAATTCATAAAATTCTAATTAATAATTTGTCTAACTTAAAGTGGAACCTTGTTTGCCATTCAACTCTCTTCTACATTCATCTGATTCTAAGGGATATACTGTACGCTTCTTTCTAAGGTGTTTTTAGCATGTCTTGTTTCTGTTCTAAAACATCTCATGTTTTTCTTTGTATTATCAACAAAATGTGACGTAGAATTGCTCGCTTACAGGCAAAATCACCAATTAGAACTTTGGATGAACTCAGTGTCACCGAGGTAATTGAAAGTCCATATTTCCCATCTGTAATGGATAGAGAACGACATAATAAAGTTAGTAGTGATCTTCGTGGCTACCCTAGCAACTCCGGAACTGACATTGCTCCTAGTTCAAGTCCATGCATTGATAAATTAACGACTTCAAGTGAAGATGTGGGATTTGGCAAACGGAGACGACATCGTTGCCTGGTGG